CTGTGGAGAGAGTGATGATAAATAGAAGGATCGCTCTCCTCCTCCTCCTCCTCCTCCTCCTCCTCCTCCTTTCCTGCCTGTGTGTGTGTGTGCGCGCGCGCGTGTGCTTGTGTAAACGCACGTGTCTGTTCAATTCAGACATCACCTTTAAAGACATAGTAGTCAAAGAATGTGTTAGCACGGATTAGCATAGCCTAGCTGAAAATACGCAAAATACTTCAGGAAATAAAATGGTTTTTGTGGTTAGTTTTTTTTTTTTTTTTGCAGGACAGAGTTTCACACAAACCTGGAGGTTTTTTGGGGGTAATTAACACAAAACATGCGCAGAACTTTAGTCACAATTTTTTTTTACCTCATATATTTAAAGATGACTGCAGGACTGCCACCTACTGGTTCTCTTTTGTAAACCATACATGTCTATTGTTTTGGTACACATTTTTGTAAAGTGAACATTTCTGAGGGCTGAATGTTTATTATTATAATTATTATTATTATTTTAATGTCTTCCACCATCTCTGTTCCGTCTGTAGCCGTTCGACTGACTTTTTAAATCCAATACTCTGCCTCGCTGAACGATCAATTTTTATTGGGCAACTTGTTTTCTGTGAAATAAGCAGAGAAACTCAGTGGACAAATATTTGCAGAGAGCCAGGAAGCTGCCGTCCAAAGTCAGAAGTCCTGCAGCTGTCCAATCCTGGACGCAGCGCTGAGCCGCGGTCATGCTGGACTCTGGCTCAGATAGGAATTTGAGGATCGTGATGGGAAAATACGAGCCGTGAAACGTTCAACTTCCTGTTTGCTGTGAACGACCTCCGCTGCAGCAAACAGACCACAGACCAAGACGCACAGACTTCAGGCCTACGACTGTTTTTTTCCTGTTTTAGGACCAGTGCTGCCTCAGTCAAAAAGTTACAAGACAGATGATCTGCTCCTCTTCATCTTTCTTCCATTTTTCTAGTCCAATTGTTAAAGGAACTAAAGGTCAAACACAAGGTCATCAGCAGTGATTCCCAGTCATCAACACAACACCAGGAGAGGGAGACACCGGGGGAGAGAGAGAGAGGAGAGGAGGGAAGATGGAGACGCACCTCCTCTGGTGATGATGTGGGCAGAACAAAAGGAAGTGTGTGTGTGTGTGTGTGTGTGTGTGTGTGTGTGTGTGTGTTTGAAGACAAGGGAAGGAGAAGGTTAGAGCCTTAGACAGGTATGTGTGTGTGTTGAGAATGAGGGGGGGGTTGTAAGA